TCACCATGGAAACCTTAAAGACCTTAATGAAAGCAGCCTGTTGAGCAGCACCACCCCCAGTTCTCCAGACTCCCTCTCCAAGTGCCGGACGGTGATGCGGGATGATGCCATGAGGTCCGGGTAGAGAAAAAGCCAGGGATCGAAGGTCATGTGAATATGATCATAGCAGGGGTCAACAGTTGAAAACAGCACACGGCTATTTTCCTGGAGACTCTTAAGAGGCTGAAATTGGCAAGACAGCGGACATCTTTTTGGCACAATGGAAGCAGAAGATAATCCCTAATGCCCTGTCCTGGCCCCTAACCGACCCTTAATCACCCCACACAATCAGCACGGCTCATCATACACTCTTGTTTTTTCCAGTCACAGTCATTTAAATATTTTATTTGCCAAATCACTGTTTGATTTAACTATAATTATTTGATTTGATAATTCTGCATTATGATCAGACGTTTGAGTGGTTAATTGCGGGATGGCGGTGGTCTCCACTTCCCTGAATTAGTGTAATCTCAGACAGGTTAATGCTGATCTTGATTAGTAATCTGATTGTTATGGATTTAATCTGACCCAGGCAGGTCCAGAGACTTCACTGTTTTTGCCCAAAGAAGAAGAAACCCTGCAGAAGTGAAGAAAAAGGAATACAGAATAAATGTGAGGGTGATCTCTAATTTCTGCATGCATGTATGTTGAACAACACACTGGCACACAGCTGGCAGCTGATTCATGAGCCTATACTGCAGCACACTCCTCGTATTTAACTAGAAAATAATAATTTCCACCAAAATAATGTAGTTACTGCTACCAAGGGTGCAGGTTTGATTTTGGCATTGGTGGGGACATAACGGCAGACAACAGACCTTTAATTGTTTGATCAAAATTATTGCTAGGGTCAATTTATTAGTCACTGGATATTGGCAGGAACATGTCATAGCGTCCCTACTAAATTCTATACGGCCTTGAAAATCAGAATTTTTTTGGGGATTATTTGAATGTAACAGATACATATAAGAAATTAAAACAAGTAATTTGTTTCGTGCTAGCTAAATTTCACATTTTCTAATCTAGACAAATATATTGAAACTATCCGAAATTCTGTTAATCCTGAAGCAGTGAAAACTGCATCTCCATTTTATGTGTCCTCTTAAGGTGAAAAAAAACCTTGGTTACTAAACAATGGTAAGCACAAAATAACCAAATTTGGTTTTGTATCCAGTAAACATAGCTTAACCATGGTATTTATAGTAAAACTACAAAAAAAAACTTGGATACTACACATTTACTATAGAAAATCATTTAACAAAAAAAAAAAAAGAAATCAGAAAAAAAGATTTGCGATACACACTCCGAAGTCCCGATCTGAATCAAATGATTCGCGATAAATCATCTGATCTAAAACCGAACCAATGATTTACGAACCAGCACGGAAGTCCCGATCTGAATCAAAAGATTCACGAACTCGCTCCGAAGTTCTGATCTAAATCAAATGATCCACTATACGCGAAGTTCCGAAATCAAATGATTCGCGAATCCACTTCGAAGTCCCAATCTGAATCAAATTCTTCGCCATATGCGATCCAGTTGGAGCGCTTCGAAACAGTGAATCATTTTGTGATGGTTTATAGGGCTGGGTTTTGACACAAATTTCACGATTCGATTCTCATTCACAAGCTTGCGATTCGATTCACAATTCAATTCGATTCGATTCCATATTGATTATTTTGGATATATATCAGGTACACATGCCAAATTTTCTCAAGGAAAAAAAAAAATCTTAACTAATGCTGTAAAATATATATGAGAGTCACTTTGGTACTACATTACTAATACTGAAGGTTAAAACTGACCGATTTTTTAGGGTATACAATGGTTTAAATTACACTTAATTAAGTTTTTATAATAAAAGTTACAATGACATAATATTTCTACTTCAATTCGTTTTTTTTAAATATAAACATTTAAATGGTGGCTGTCATAAAAAAAAAAAATAAACATTGAAGAACAGTAAAAAATTATAATAAATATATTATATGGTGCATATATATAGCAAAATGCCCCTCTCTACAGTTTATTTTTCTATCTGACTAATGAGTTTATGGTCACCGAATATGTTTTTCTGAGGTAAATGTGACGTTACATGACATTGTATACAAGCCGTTATACTGACGTCTTTGCGGGGCTAAAACACTGATTAAGCGATTACATGAGACAGGATACAGATTGTAAAGTTGTACTCTTTCTTTTAACTTGCCTTCGGATGTTTAGTCATGATTATTTTGTGCGGAAACTGGTATTAATGTGGAGGAGATGATCAGTTCACGTGCGCCTCGCACTACCGCGTCTGTTGAACCGAGGCGCTACGGTGATCTGTCACTCCACATTAAACAGCGCAAAAAGGGCATTTATTGTTTTCATACTGCAATACAATGGACAGAATTTGAAATCTGAGACTTTGTTTCATATTAAAAGTAGCAAAGCACAATGCTTATTGCAGTATATTGGATGGGAGGTGCCCTTCAATGTTCCGCTCATTAACTGAAAACAGGCTAGACTAATCGATTCTTGGGATTTAAGAATCGATATCGTTCCGTAAAAATCATAATCGATTAAAATCGATATATCATATTTTTTACCCAGCCCTAATGGTTTAACTGATTCAGAGTTTCGAAAAGCCCAGTTTCACCCATCACTGTACGTGCTTTTAAAATAATTCAGCCATGTCAAAATTTGAAAATGAAATCTTTTGATTTGTTTTTTGCTAGGGAATCATTTTAACTGAATGATTGAAGTCACGAATTTGAATCAATCGGACCGGTTCCAGTCTGTTCCTCACTTTTCGCATCTTCAGCCACGTTTACACGACACTGTTAGTACTAATACTGGCTTAGCTCACTAGTTTTATGTCATTAACTGAAATAAGTAAAAACAAGAATGATGTTTACTAATAAAATATCCATATTTTACAAATAAAATATCCATATCATCATTTCTTTCACAGAATACCAACTGGACGCTAACCAATCAGGTTTCAGAAGTGGACATTCAACTGAGACTGCGCAACTGTCAGTCACTGAAGCCTTGTGGATTGCAAAAGCTGATTACAAATCATCGGTTCACATTCTGCTGCATCTATCTTCCGCTTTTGACACTGTGAATCATCAGATCCTTCTGTCCGCCCTCTCATCACTGGGCATCACAGGGATTCCACTTCGCTGGTTTGAATCCTATCTCACTAGTAGGTCTTTCGAGGTGACCTGGGGAGGGGAGGTTTCCAAAGCACATCATCAACGAGCCCAAAAGAGCCCATGTCACACCTCTCTTTATCTCCTTGCACTGGCTACCGGTTGCAGCTCGCATCAAGTTCAAGACATTGATGCTTTCATAAAGAACAGCCACAGGCTCAGCACCCTCCTACTTCCACTCACTATTACGAATCTACATCCCCTCCAGAAGTCTGAGATCTACGAGTGAGCGACGCCTCGTGGTACCATCACAGAGAGGCACAAAATCACTTTCCAGAACTTTTTCGTTCACCGTTCCTGGCTGGTGGAATGAACTTCCCACCCCTATCCGGAATGCTGAATCCCTGACAATTTTCAAGCGACAGCTGAAAACTCATCTTTTTCGTCACCATTTGACTTCATCTTAAAAAAAAAAACTTTGCTTTCTCTTTCCTTAATCTCTCCTTGTCTAGCTTGTACTAATCTGAACAATGCCTGAAACTTTGTATTGCAAGCACTTCCTGCATTTATTTGCCTCTTTATGATGAATCGTTTATTGTATTCCTCAATTGTAAGTCGCTTTGGATAAAAGCGTCTGCTAAATGAAGAAATGTAAATGTAAATATTTTCATTCATCCAACACAAATCTACGAACATGGTAGGGACATGTCCCTAGCGTCCCTACTAATTTCTGTGACCTTGGTTACTACAGATATTGTTACTGTTTTAAAATTATGAGCTTTCCTTAAATCAATGTAAAGTTTCATAATTTTATTTATTTATTTATTATGGTAAGAGGTTTCATGGTCTTTGATTTTATTTATTTTTTATGACTGTGGTAAGAAGGTTTCAGAATTGTCAGCTTATTACAGTCATAAACAAAAAATATTTTATTATTTTATGACAAGACAACTAACAACAATAAGATGGCTACGAGATCTGTGTTAACTTTTTATTTATATTTGTATTTATGTATTTATTTGAGAAGGTTTCATGTTCTTTGAAATTACTTATTTTTTTTATGACTGTAGGTTTCAGGATCCTTGCCAGGTTGTAATTTCTGATTATAGTCATGAAATAGTCATAAAATCTTATTATAGTCATAAACATTTTTTTATTTTTATGACTAGGCTATAATAAGGTTACAAAATCCTTGTTAGCTCTCATTATTTTCTTTCTTTCTTTCTATAAGAATTATGAAAAGGTTTCATGGTCCTTGTAAATATTTGATTAAATTGTTTGTTTGACAGTGATGGCTACATGTTGCCACAGTTTCACTGAATAAAAAGAATTCCGATGATCAACTACGTTTTTAGGCGAAAGCAGTTTTATTCATGATACATTTTTGTAGTTCAGCATCGTGTTTTACAAGGCCTGCATGACCAGTAAACAAGCTTGTAGTAAAACCTAGCGTAATTAATGCATTTTACACTTTATACAGATCTTTACTGCATTCTTTCATCACCGCAACAAAATGCAATGCATACATTTAAACACATCTCACACAGACTGTTGTTGTTGCAGTTTAAAGGAGAGTCATACATATTCATGGATTTGGCGGAGGGGGATGTTGTTTATATAGGTTTTTACCACGGACAGCTTTAGAGTTTTCCACTTTTCCCTCACTATTTCAGTTTTATTGTGCATTGATTGCTGTCGCTGAAAAATGCTACGCATTTAAATTAGTAGTAATGTGTTGGTTGTTAGTGCGGTGTGATGAATCCTCCCCCCCCACAGTGATAATTTGGTTCAGTCCGATCCACAGCTCCGATTCTCTCATCAGTCAGTCAGTCAGTGAGCGCGAGCCTGTGTTAATGAGAGTTCTATTTACAACAGCATCAAACCTCAAAACAAACGCACACTCGGGATTTTAATTAGCGGTAAGTGAATTTTTTATATATATATTTATTTATATGTGAAAATCTAATGCACTAGTAGTTGCATTAATATGTTCTGGAGAGTGGTAGTTATAGTTCAGTAGGTGTACAGAATAATTTTAACTACAATTATAAGACTATCTTAACAAATCACACTTCGGTTCCTTCATTCATATGGAGTCCTGTAATTCGTTTGTTTGTTGCTGATTTTTTCCTTCTGCAATATTTTGCCAAGTAATTAATTAATTCATGGTCGTTTTGCAATTCTTTTAACTTCATAGTCATTTTTTACAAATAATACAATTGTTAAGCATTTTTTTCTATTCGCAATTTGGTTTTAGAAATATTCCACCATTAACCTTAATTTTCTCATTATTTTTGCATATATTAAGCATTTTTCCTTTGTACAGTCGTTGCAGTTGAACTGCCACTACACTGTTGTTGACAATATAAAACTAGTGCAAAACCTTTGGTTAACTTTTCATTGGTCATTAGCCGATTTAAGATTGATATATCTATTCTAAATCTGGAAATTAGGCTGATTTGTGTGTTTTCATGAGTGATACTGAAACTTCTACAGTTACTTTCCCACCCATGAAGTTGCTCTGCAGGTTGTTTCTTCATATAAATAGTGAGATAATGGTGTATGAGGACACCAGTACAGACAATGAACTGGATTTGGAACGCCTTGTTGCCACTATCCATTAGACAAGCTTCTTCTCTTAATATTTTTAAGTCCAGACTAAAGACATTTTTATTTTCTAAAGCTTATGGCTGATGGGATATTTGTATGATTTTATCACTTTTCTGTTTGTTTGTTGTGTTTTTTTCTGTTTTTGATGACTTGCTGGAAAGCACATTGGTCAACGGAAGTTGTAATTAATGGTGCTATATAAATAAATTGTCATTGTCAAATTGTCATTCATTGGATTTAATGCACAAGACTACAAAATATGGATCATAGATGAAAAAATGTATAGTCTTTGATCATATTAAACAGAGCTGAGTTGAACTTTTTGGCTGTGTGAACGGTACAGAAAGGAAAGCAGTTGGATATAACAGACACCCTCTGACAGGTCTAAACACGAATGCACATTCAATGGGCAGAGAGGTATGATGGTTCATGACAAGATGATGAGTGTTTTTTTCACAGCCACAGGTGGGTGGAAAACCGGCTTTTGACTTGTTCTCAGATCTTAGTAGTTGGTAAAGCCTTGTGATTGGCATTGTGCAATAACTCAAGGTGCTGTCCTGTAAGAACCTCATTTCGCTTGAAGTGCCTGCTTTATGCTTGGATGCACCATCATTGGTCTAATTTTTTCCTTAACAAACAAGCTTATCGTGTACCTGTTACCCTGAGGCTTATCTGAATCTGTTTTCACTGGAATTGTCCTATAATTGACACACACAGTGCTATTTGCATGTCTTCAGAGGTGTTGGTATTGTGACATAGGAAGGAAAACTCCTTAAGCACATAGCCGCAGTCTGTTGGTGTTGTTGTGCTGAAGATTTGTTCTTGCTTCGAGGCTCGAGTGATCCTCCTTTATCTGTCCTTGCAAAGTAAGTGGCTTTTCCAGTCTGAAGAATGCATGCTAGAAGATTGATTTACAATTGTTGTTCTCAGAGAGGCGTGTGCGCCTGAAAGTTTGATTTGTTTTAGAGTGACACTTTTTCGCCAAACCAACTAAACATTCAAAAAAATTAATCAAATTAAAGTAGGGGTGGGCGATATGGCCAAAACAATTATCACGAAACACCAGTCCTCCATGCACCCTAACTCTTCATATCATTTTATCGAGGAAAATTCTATCACAATAATTTTTTTTCATATAGTCGATATTGATAATTATCACGATAAATGTCAAATCTTTATTTCTTTCAAATTTAAAGCCAGATTTTTGCTCCAAAGTGAAAGTTGTAGAAACCAGGCCATTAATTTTCCTTAACAAAATAAATATCTAAATAGAACAATTAATTTCTTAGTTTCTGCATGTTCTAATGAGTGATATTGTTTCAAATCAAGAAACAGATTTGGGTTGCCTGATAATATTAATAGTAATATCACTTTTTTGTCTCTTAGAAATGCACATTTGATAGTAGCTTCAGTTAGGATGCAGAGGTACATTTTTGTTCATTATCAAAATCAGTAACATCTGTAAAAATTGTAGCAACCTATGGTTAAATTTATTCTGACCAAGGTTTTTTTTTTTTAATTAAGCATTGGTCTCCCATAGTAGCATACATTTAAATCATGATAAACACAGTTAAAACCACACATATAGC